GCGGTTGGACCCCAACTCCCCGCCAGCCCGACGCAGACCGCCCCCGACCTGGGGGCTGGACCCGAGGCTGGGGGGCCCCGCGACCTGCTCCTCGGGCCGTGAGGTGACCTCCCCTCCGAGACACTATCAGCCTTTGGGGAGCTGGAGGCCGGGGCTCCTCCCCCCACCACGGAGGTGGGACTGAGGTGGGGAAGGCTGCCTTGCCCTGAGGAGCCATTTTCCACCCTTCAGGCCGGGGTCCCCAGGGGCCTCCGAGGAGGAGGAGCTGGGCGGGAAGACAGCTAGGGGGTCCCGGCGTCTCCCCACCCGCCGGCGTCCAGGCGTGTCCCTGCTCTGCCACCTTCCTCCGCGTGGACGGCTGTGAGCCTGGGTTTCTAGCTCTGTTGTTCCCAGGATGTCGCCATCTCCTTACACAAGAGGGAGGAGATTAGCTTCCTTAATTAAGAAATGAAGAAATGAGAAGACCAAGTCCAGGGCCCCGGATCCTGGGCCAGGGGTGGCCGCCTGGGAGGGGCTTCCCTGATACCCTCGGCGCTTTCCCCTGATGACCATACAGTCTACCACTTGGTGGCAGCAGACGCCCAGGGACCCTCAGCCACTCCTGCCAGCGCAGAGCTGGCTCCTTGTGCGCCTTCCCCCTCCCCCAGCCCCGAGGCGGGGCTGGGCTGTGCGGGCCGGCGCGCAGGGGGCAGCGAGCTGGGCCGTTCCTCTCCAGACCACAGACAGATGCCGCCCGGGACGCTCGGACCCTTCGCCTCTCCCCAGCCCCGCAGCTCTGGGGCTTTGCTCTGCACCGCCCTCTGTGGGTTAGGGTTAGCTGCTGCAGCCTCCTCCCCTCCCCACCACTTCATGGCACAGTCCTGCCTCCCCCCACCTCGGGTCCTGGGCAGCCCCTGTGGCACACTCCAGCCTGCGGACCCCAGTCCCCAAAGAGAGACCACGCAAGTGGCCGTTCATCCTCCGTGCGTGCCCACTCTGACCTCCAGGGTGGGGCGAACTCATTCCCCCAAATGTCCCTAAGTGGCTTCCTGCGGCAGGGACTGTTCTAGATGCTAAGGGACCCCCAGGGGTCCTCACCCCTGGAGGCTGCCAGCTGCTGGGAGGCAGTGCACGTGTGGGCAGCAGGAGCTGCAGAAGTGGGTGGTCTCGGGGTCCTGGAGTGGGTGACGTGCAGCTGGGCCGGCTCCCAGGTGAGAGAAGCCAAGGTGAGGGGGCTCCAGGCCTGGTACATGGCAGGTGCCAACTGACTGAGGACGCGACTCCCAAATAGCTTGTGACTACAGTTCCCAGACACAGTCCTGCTGGCCTTTTCTGGAAGGGTCACCACACTTCTGAGAGCCAGCTGTGGGGACTTCCAGGAGAAATGGCCAGGCCTCCCCGAGAAGGCCAGCATGCGCCCAGCTCTGTGAAGACTCTGGAAGCAGAGCATCAGGGTCTTGGTGTCCCAGCCCCTTTCTCTACGGACCTCACCCCAAGGCAGGAGCAGGGAGGGTCTCAGGTGGACACAGAACCATGGCGTGGCCTGAGGGCAGACACCCGGAGTGGGTGCGGGCCCTGGGGGCTGTCAGGGCCTGGCTAAGTCTCACTCCAGCTTAGGGCACAGGAGGTGAGGGGCACCCAGTCTCCTTTGGCCTTAGCCACCCCTGTGGGCTTCACTTACCCTTGACTTCTAACAGGGGGGAGAGCCCCATGTAAAATCTGTCTCCTGGGGATGTCTCCTCTCTGGTTTCATCCAGCTGCTAGGGATTAACTCCCTCCATGACCACCGGGACTGACAGCCTGGGACACTGCCACCAAGAGCAGAGCTGGGTGACCCCTGCGCCAAGCACACGGCAGGTGCTGACGCCCTGCCCGCACCCCCTCAGCCGCCGCTTTCCGACAGCTGCCCACCCGCCGGCCCAGCCTGCACAGGGACCTGGAGGTGGAAGGGGAGCACTGTGTACCCCGAGAGACCCACCTTGTCCCAGCATTATCAGCAAGACACAGTGGCAGTGGTGGGGCTGGAGGAAATTTAAAAGTTGAACTTAACTCAAAGACTCACATTTCCCCGAGCTCTCGGAAGCAGTGACAGGCAGTGGGGCTTTATTGGAAAATAATTTCTGATGGAGACTGACACTGGCACTGCGGAAACAAGTTTTCTACAAGCCAAAATGCATGTTTACAAAGAATCCTTCAGCGTTTTGGAGAAGGCACCCCTCCAGTGAAGCGGAAAGTGCTCGGTGGGCGGGGGTGTTGCGGCCCCACCCTGCAGCACAGGACTGGCCCAGCTGGGAGGCCCTTCCCCCTGTCTTTCTCTGGCTTTGGCCACTGAAAGTGATACGTTTGTGGGTGATGACCAGATGCCCCCTCCCCTCCAAGGCACCCATCCCAGAATCAGGGTGACATCTGCAGCCAGCTGCTCGGGAGCCTGCACCTCCCAGCGCCTTCCAGCACCACGGAAGGTCCTCAGAGCCGCGGTATGAGCTTGCTGCCTCCCCCCGCCCCCTGCAGAGCAGGCCTGCCCGCTGACGGGTGCTGCTGCTGCTGGTTTGCTGCCTCTCCTCCAAGGCGGCCCTGCAAGGCAAACCCTGTCAGCTGGACCCCAGCCTGGAGCCTGCTGGCCTGGGCCAAGCCCCACTTGGATTCCCCAGACCCTCCTTTGATTTCTCAGGGGCGGGTTTTCCCTTCGGGGCACCCAGCAAGTGGGGTCAAGATGTCTCGGGCCTGAGGCCACCCAGCACAACCAGCCCCGGAGAGCAGCACAGCCTCCAGTCTCCCGGTGAGGCCGGCCCCAACTCCAATGGCCTGGCCAGCGCCGGCTCACTGGCCGGCCAGCCTCGAGGCCTGGGCTGCCTGCTCCCCGGAGCCCGGACTCCTGGTTGTGCTGGCCACACGTGCTAGCCTGCGTGTGCTGAGCAGGCAAGCCTTCCTGGAGCTGGGCGGTGACATTCGTGGGTGTGCGGAGTGCCAGGCAGACAGGCTGGATTGAAACAGTTGCCTGGGAAACATGGCAGGGTCCCTCGGGCAGCAGAGCGGGCGCGGGGCCCCCTCACTGGTGTGGGGACAAGGATACCCTTGGCCTCCTCGAGGCACCTCCTCCCAGCTGCAGAGGGGCAGGCGTCGATGTCCGGGACCAGCCGGCACAACCTTCAGCCTTCACTGTAAGAGCGTGAAAGCCACAGGATAGCCGAGGGTGGCAAAGGAGGGGCAGTGGCCACTGCAAAGTCCCAATGCTGGCCCCCACCTCCCCCAGGCCCCGACTCCCTCCTCTGCTGCTGCCCTTCCCGCAGCCATATAGGCCCTCCCTCTGTCCCAATGCCCCAACTCCTGTGATGCTCAGGCTCTGCTCTGGCGTCCTCTCCACCGAGAAGCCTTCCTGGCCCTCCCCTCACCCTGTCGCCCTGCTGGGTTTTCCTACCCCTCCGGTGGGAAGTGTAGGGCTGGGGTGCTGCACTCTGCCCCAGGGTGTCCCCAGAGCCTGAGGGGGTGCCTGGCCCAGAGGGGACAGTCAGCCAGTCCCGAAGATGAGCTGGGAGGGACCGTCTCAGGCTTTCTTCCTGCGGGGCATGAAAGTCAAGCAGAGACCAAGCTTTGGGGGTAGTGGGTGGTTCCCTGAATCTATGTCCACTGGAACCGGGGAACATGACCATATTTGGAAGTAGGGTCTTTGCAGCTGGAATCAAGTTAAGACGAGGCCACCACACTG